TTTTTTATGAAGCAAAGAATTTGTGTAAGAAAAAGAATAGCACCTGGAGTCTGCTGGTGGTTCACTGGCTGCTTGAGTTTGTACCTGCGTGCCATTTTGGCCTCAAGCGATTCTGGAAGGATGTTCTTCCCTCCACCAACCCCAAAACGCCTCCTTCTGTACTGGTTATGTTCCAGTGGTAGTTCGACTACTGTCTAGAGAGCTTAGTTTGAGCGTCCCTGGACACGTTGAAGGGTACTAAGTGTTTTGAAATGTTGTGTAGAACAGCTTGGTAAGTTCGACTTCAACTTTAAAGGTCTGGCAAGTTCATATGAGTGGTGCTGAGTTCGTGAAGTTCGAACAAAAGATTGGCACCGCTCAGGCCGGACCTGGGACGCGCTTCCAGCCATCTTCAGTAAAACCGGAACCCAGTCGAGTCGTGTCGTAAGCTTGGTTGTAAAGGCTTAGAGGTTCATAGGTGATGGAGGCGGGTTGTGGGGCTGCAGACGACTGTGCGGTATTTTTGACCACGAAAGTGGATGCGCAGGTCATTCTTCGCCCTGACCGTTGCCATGCGCAGCCAAAACATTGCATGAACACTGGATGGCGAAAACAGCGAAAAGAAGGGACGTGATGCTGATCTGGGATGAAAACACAACAGGTCCCGGTGTGTTTCCATGCATGGGATATGCTGGAATTTCCCCTCGCTGAACTACTTGGAGATGGAATCATACTTGTCAAAGACATGTTTTCCAATGGTCCCATTTCAACGTGTTTCAAGACAAAGAAAATCGACCCACGTTGTTATCCCTTTTGGCTCAAGAAAACCATATATCAGTTCCTTGTGGTTCGGTAGCTAGCATGTGCTACCGTCATTTCCCGTTGTCATGGGAAGTTGTTCGACCCCAAAATCAGCGGTTTGAGCTTCCGACATCTTAGTCTTTCTCGCAGAGATTTGCAGTCGACGCCTCATGTTCAGGCCATGGATGCCTACTTCGATGCGAAGTGAATCTCAAGAAGTGACAGATCAATTCGACCAACTCCGCAAGTCAATGCTAATGTCGCCAATCTGACAAGACTCCCCGCACCCCGGGGGGGGTTGAGCTTTGATATCCCGGCCAGAGTGGTGTCGGAAGGCCAAAAATAGATTCGGTTCACAGCAAACAGCTGTGCAGAGGCTTGCCCCCCCCATCCAGTGGAGGTACATGTCTTCCGTGGTGTGTGGTCCTCGCGGACAGCCCCATTCTGGACACAAGGAACTGATGTGACAAAACGAGCGAAGCAATAGCTCCTTCATTCTGTGCATGTACGAAGTTGTGTTGACTCTGCCTCATGAACATCCGACCAAACATTTCATTGGTTGATGGGCTGCGAAAAAGACGTCACGTTTGTGTTGAACAACAATTTCTTTGGATCCAAAAGCCTATGTGGCGACACTTGGCTTCTGGATCTGACGCTGATGCCTGGCCTATGTGTGGCATCCTTCCCGGCCAACCCCCACATCTCGTGAAACCTCGTGATCGGCCAGCGATGGGAGTTCCAACTCGTTCGGCGCTGGTGAAACACACCATGCCTCCACCTGCTGCCACAATGTGGAGGTCGTTTGCATCGGATTGAGCTCTTAAGTTCTCTAGACATATCTGTTGGAGGGTTTTCTTTGCTCGGAGACAATTGGAGATCCCAGCAGACTGCCTATTTTGGGTGTGACATTGAACTTTCGGAATTGTCTCACACCATCCAACTGATAGAGCTTAAGAGGAAGTATCCTAGTGCCTGGCAGTCTTCCAAACCGTATTGTCGCGTTGACTGAGCCAGCAGGAGACGCTGGTTGCGCGGACCAGTTTGCCCACCTAAACTCTGCACATTTGCTGTTTGCCTGGAGGCCCTTCGGTCTCTTTGCTGCATGGCAAAGCTTTGGAAGAAGCAAGATTTTTTGTCAAGCTTGGTCTGGACTGGAAGAGCAACGTGTGCAACAAAATCCATGCTGCTTTGGATGGGTCTCAGCCACAAGCTGCCCAGAGTCTGATGGTGTTTGGTGCATTTACCAGGACCAGCTTTGCCATCTTTGTGGCTATTTGGGTTGGAGGCCTTGAGCATTTGGCGGCGCACAAAAATCTCAGACCCTAAGTTGGTTCGTTTGAATTTCATTGGCTCTTCCGTCATGTCTGACAAAGAGGCGCTGCCTTCAACCAGGATTGCAAACGTGCTTGCTTGTCCGGACAACACTGCACTTGTGTTAAGGATGAAACTTATTTAAGCGCACTGGGGGATAGTTTTGCTATTGTGGACGCTCACTTGACTGCTTGGCGCCGGCCTTTAAACTACCAGCTGAAGACGGCTAAGGAATGTTCAACGCATTTGTCAGAGATGCGACAGCCAACAATGTATGTAGCCAGAGTGAGTCGCTGCTTCAAACCAGGTCACTAGCCGCCCTGAATGCACAGCGGAAATGACCATGAGCAACCACCAAAAGTGGCGATGACTAAAAACAGTGTATGAAAGTTTGCCGAGTGACGTCCACCACCACTAGGCGCTTACGACTCAAGCTTGCTTACAGGACTTGGATGGGCGTGAAGAAAACATATGTCCGATTCCGGGGCTATATCTTGGCATTTACTGCCCCTTGAACTTTCCAGACCTTCATGGACTATATGTTGCGCCAATGTTCTATGGCAAGATGCTCAACTACAGGAAATGCATGCAGCATTTGATTGGCCTTTGTTTTGCTTCAGGGCCCGATTGCAAGCCTGCAGCTGTGTCGGCATGCCACACAGTCCTGAGCGTGCCACGCAAGAATCAGGTGACCTTAATTGGTGACCACAGTGACACGTTATGATCGACACAGATCCCGAAGCAGTGAAAGCATTTCGCAAAGCACCTCGTGATGGTGATACTTGCACACTAAAGATCTTTATGAAATTAGATTCCTCTGGGCCTTTGTTTTGCTTCAGGGCCCGATTGCAAGCCTGCAGATTGTCGCACAAGCGAATGCTACACCGTCCTGAACGTGCCACGCAAGAGTCAGGTGACCTTAATTGGTGACCACAGTGACACGTTGTGATCAACACAGATGAGTTGTGTTCTTTTCCCAAAGAAATGCCTGTGGAAGGGAACTCTAGTAAGAGCATTCGGCAAAGCACCTCCTGATGGTGATACAAGTCCGTGTAAGGTCATGTAGAAGATAGCTAGCACAATGCCTCGCGAAGCCTTCGGCTGTGCGCAACATAAGTTAGGCATTCGCGTTGAAGATGCTGCAGAGGGGAGCTCTGAGACCATTTTTCTCATGTCAAGTGTGCTGCGACTTGGACCTGGAGTGAATCTGCATTCCAACACTCCTACGCATACACACATCGAAGTGATGGCACTGCGGTTCATCGATCTTGCTGATGGAGGTCACGAGACCTGTGAGCATCTGCTTTGGCCTCTTCTAGCTGATTGAAGAATTGCACCAGCCATCCGGAAGCAGGTCTAGCATCTCCCACTGCCATCCGGCCCGGAGCCCTTGAACTGCTGCCCCTTGAACTGTTCAGGGGGTTTGCTACCCAGAACTCACCCAAGCAGGATTTTCAAACCAGGTGTGAGCCTTTGCTTGCCACTTCTGATCATGAAGTTCTACGTCTGGGGCCAGCGTGTTTTGTCGCGCATCAGATCCCACCGGAAATTGCCAACAGAATCTAACCTGCTCAGTGTGTGATCGATAGTGGTTCAATACAGCAGCCCTGGCCAGAGACCCACCAACATCAGGGATGCCTTCCATTTTGCCTGCTGAGTGGAGCACCCCCTAGCAGGTGGTGGGGCAGGAGCTGTATCGCGGCTTGGTGGCAACGGATCACGAACGAATTGCGCAGAAACGCGAACAACAAGCGAAAGACAATGCGCCGATCTCAATCAAGCTCCAGCTGCACTTCATCCGATTTCCCTCCGTGACTTGATCTTTCTGATAACAAGGATTGCCCGTTGGCGGACTCCAAGTATTTGCAGCGACACTGCTCATCCAAAGGATTCCCCTGAAGATTTGGCCACCAAGCAAAAGCTTTAGGACGAACGTGCGTTTGAAACTCTTGCCGCACGACTTCAGCAACTGTCTCCTTTGCTTTGCGCAGCGAGGTCGATGAGACCATCCAAAGACACGTGTCGCGCACCTTGACGATACATGGCG